ACTGGATTTAAACACACAGCCATGTGAAATTGTGGAGGCTGTGTGAATCTTAATTTTCTGAAACTAATATAATCCGGACTGGGCATTAATCGCATCCCTTAATACCCTATTTGTCTGTAGATGTTTAATAAGAAATAAAGTTGAAATTAAATGATCAGATGGTGGTGTTCACTTTACTGTTCTTTGGAACTACTTTCATGTCTTCATAAGCTGCTGCTTTGGCAGCTTTTTTAATTAAAAGCTGCTGCTTTTAATTGAGGCTTTACCTTCTCTAGTGCATGTCATGGCTACAAGATCATAGGCAGGTTACCTGCAAATGCTATATTGCTGGAATTGAATGCCACTGTAACTGTTAGGGGGAATATGTAAGCCTCAGAACACAAACCTAAAACAGTGAGCTAGTTCTAACCACTTCTAGCAAAGCACGAAGGGACAGACTTGCTCATGCAATTACTTCTCTTGTGTTTATCAGGTTTGAGAGCATTTATTCTAACAAAGCAGGTGAACTAGGCACAATATACCCATAATGATCACTGAGATGCTGGAAGACTAGCTCCTCCTCCAAAGATCTAGTTATCTCTTGTTTAACAAGAAAACATCAGATCAAGATCAAGTCTTTGACCATAGGAATAAACAAGTATTTTTTGACTAGCAAATTGTGTGTTCTTTAACAACAAATGTGGTCCTACTGCAGCAAACCAGCTCTTGCAAGTCTCTTCTTTTAATGGAGACAGTCATGTTTTCTTCAGTGTAGTAGCAATGAATAAACACAAGAAACTTGTCTGAAAGTTTCAATGTGTGTCTCAGGAAGTCCCAAACTCTTCATAGGGGTATCGCCTGCTTTTTTGACTGCATCTGTCAATGTTTTCTTCCCTTTCCATACATGTTGACAAACTGCTTGTATAATTCAATCTCCTGTGTCTTATAAATAGTCTAGGGGGAAATGTCTTTGGTCCATGTTACCTTTAACTTCTAATCCTCTGTATTGTGCAAGTCATTAAATGAACTCTGAAACTTGTTTATAGAGCAAAGATGTGCTTTTTCTGTCATTAATAGCACCTTTTTTTTTCTGTAGGATTCCAAGGTACCTAATGCATGGAGGTTTTTCACACAGAGTGTCTGGCTTTAATTTAAAAAAAACTAGTAGGGAAACCCCAAGTCCCCAGTGCCCTGATTATAAATGTATTGTTGCATGACATCAGGATTGCCTTAATATGTTTCTGATGTGTTTTGGATTTTGTTCAAATGTTGCTCTACAGTAACTGCTAGATTGTTTTCCATCCCTCAAATATTTTTTTTACTATTGCATTACTAATGCAGCTTTCAGCCCAAATCTGTACTTCAATGCAGCTCTGCATACTAAAATAGAAATAAGACTGGAAGGGATGATGTGATTGGGTTTGCCTTGAGGTAGCTGTGAAGCTAGTCGAGAACATTTGTAAACACTTCAGAAGTGAGCAATGCAAAATATAACAATAAATGCCATTTCAGGTCACTTCCCTGCCTGAACTTTTTCAGCCTGAGACCCATCAGGATTTGCATCCTTGGTTCTTTTTGTTGTCATGGTTTAGAAGAGGAGATCTATCACTAGTCAGACCAAGAGTTTACCTAGCTCAATATCCTCTCTCTGACAGTAGTTAATAAAAGATGTGTGAAATATGTACAAATAAGTCTTCCAATAACTGACGGTTTGGGAATGTAGCTGATCTGAGCCTAGTTTTCCAACTCTGATAAAATGCTTGGAATTGTATTGCTAGAACTGATACATCAATACTTTGATAGGGAATTTTGAGTAAATAGCTAAGCAAAAAAGATGCAAGCAAATTAAGTATTTATATTCCCTGAATACAGCTTCTCTCTGTTTTAGCTGCTACTTTGCTGTTTTCTGGATGAAGCCTAGCCTGAAGAAGTGGCACAGTGCGGTGTTCCTGCTTAAAAGCATAGGAAATCAAATGCTCTCATGCCACTTCTGCATGTTACAAACAAAGCAACAAAAAAGTAATTTTCAGTTCTTAAGATACAAAGTGAAGGAGGAAAACAGGGGGTTGGTGCCCTCAACCTAACTGAGTAACATATTTCAGGCACAAAGTCTTGTATAGCGTCGTATGTAATGAGGCTGCTTTTGATGTCACGCTAGAGGCTGCCTTGTCTTACAAGTGGAATCCTTGCTGCCCTCGTTCCAGCACTTGGAGCCTTATAGCATGTTATCTCTGAAGATTTATTCCATCTTTCTATTTCCTCCCCAGCCTTGCTACCGTACATCTCCTGTGCTGGAATTGAATAAGCCAGTTCATCTAACCCTTCTGCTCTTGCCTGCCTAAGTCATCTGGCATGTGATTGTTCTTATCTCATGTATCGTGTCCCTGATTCTGACTTAATTTCATCACTTTGTGCTGCTCTGTCTGGAGCAATAAGGGTGTGTGTGTAGATGTTTCCCCTGGCTCCTAAGTGGACTCAAACTGTGCTGGGCATGTTGTCCATGCCACACATGCTCTGTTGTTGTAGGTTATTTGCAGAAGCAATTTATTATGCCTACTGCAAGAGGGCAGGCAAGACTCCCATACGCTGCCTTCTCCTTGGTGCACAGCCAGCTTGCCGCAGAAATTACTAATCCGTGCTTTTTCATGTCTATGATTTGAAAGGCTTAGCTGGAGCAGGGGGAGGAAGGAGTTTGTCCAAGAGACTGTAGAGAGAAAGGAAGTGAAGAAGAATAGGAAATAATATGGATACAATGGGGTGATACTACATCAATTGTGGGTTTTTTATAAAGCTTTCTGGCTGTAACTCCTAAGAGGAGTCAAGCATAGAAAAAACGTAAAAGTTGAACTGCGTGTACCTCCCAATAGTTTGTGGATAAGAACACACATTCATTTTCTGCTATTAGGGATCAGATTGCACATATTTTCACTCAGAACTAAAGCAGCAGTAAGACTGTTGATTTAAGTGATTAAATTTGGCTAATGGATTTGTTGTGTTGTCTTTTATGAAGACTTAGTGTGTTTTTTTTTTTCCTTGGAATAGCCTGGGAGCTACTTCAGTTAACACAGTAAACTGGATTTTTTTTTTATAATGCTGGAACCCGGATGCCACATAGGTTTTCCATCTACCTTTGTCCCTGAGTTTTTGCCTTAGTAGGTGTGACAAGAACAGCAGAGAAATCGGGATTTTGGCCAAAGCAGAAAGCTTCAGGAAAACATGGAGCACAACATGAGTGCAATCTTAATACCTAGAGAGCTCATGCTTGTAAATGCAAATAGTGCTTTTCCTACAGCAAAGCAGGATTTGATACTGCAAGTTGGAGATCAATAACGAGTATTTTCAGTGTGCTAGAAAGGGAATCTGTAGTAATAGGATACCTTTTTCCTCAGGTACAATAAGCTCAAAATAAGTGCAGCTCAGATGGATTTGTTATGCTAAAAACTGATGCTAGGGCAGGACTTTTTAACATACTGACCACAGACATCTATAGGAATGGAGCTGAGACAGTAGAAAGCTGCTAGAATGATGCAATGCCTCAGATTCCAGGGTTAATCCCACTAGAATGGAAAAACTAGAGCTGTATTATTTGAAAAACAAATGAAAGACAAACCTTGGTTAACTCTTTATATTTCTGAAAAGTCTGAAATAATAAGAATGGGTTACAGTCTTACTTTAACTGGTAGAGTTGTACCAGAGGTCTCATTACTCCGGACAGTAATTTACAGGAGATATTTTTATTTGGGGTGTTAGAGATTGTAGGATGCCTCCTTACCCTCCCTTCACTTGAAACTACTCTGCAGTTTTTGATATTTATTCTAACAGCCCCACAGATGGAGAATTACTTTTATAGCTGAGGAAAGGGAAATACAGAGAAGTAGAAGAACTTGCATAGGACTACACAGGAAATCGGTGGCCAAACCAGGAGCTGAAACAAAACTGCTCAAGTCCTTGTCTGATGTGTTTAAAACAAAAGCTCATTCCTCATCATCACTTCCTTTGTCAGTGTTAAGCTCATACAGGACTAAGAGCAAGATGCTCAAAATGGAGAGCCATGGATTTCTCATTCACCAGAGTAGTTAGTCACTACTGAATTAGAAAAATAATTCATTGCCACAGCTATCAAGGGAGGTAGGATTGTGTGCCAGAATCCCAGCAATGTAGGTAGGACTTCTTTTAACAAAGAAAAGTATATGCATGTTGTAGGAACCATGTTTTGAAGTGATCCTTCTCCCACTAGGCAAGGAAGCAATCGATCATATTTTCAGAAATGCTCAGTGGCTCTTGAAGAGACATGTGAACAGCTGAGTACTTGAAAACCAGGCCACAAACTAGCAAGGTCATCGGCAGATGCAGTGAGTATGCCTAGCTTTGCCCAAAGCACTTGAATTTGGAAAAAGAAAAAGCAAAGGAGAACTTGCGGGCTGTGGCTGCTAAGTCAGCATTTGGAGAAGGATAGTGAAAAGGCTTCCTTCCTTTGAAATGATTTGAAGTACACAAAAATTCAGGATTCCTGTTAGTATAGAAGGAAGCTGCTGCAGCTTTTGCCTTGGCAATACTTATGTCTTGAGTAGTTAGCCAGGAGAAACCCTGGGTGGAGGCAAGCCTTTGGCTGCTGTTTATTCTTTCAGATGCATCACATGGTGTTTGCATGCTGGAACAATGCCGTTGTCTTCTCAAGCCCCAAAGTGCAGGGTGTGAGTGATTTTGTAGTAGTTTGGGTAACTGTATTTTGTCAAAAGGAGGCATGCTAGTTTTCAGGCTCTGCTTCAACTTCTCTTTCTCTCTGATGAAAGAGATGACTTTCTTCCAAAGTACAGACAGCTGTATTAAATGGGCTTGTTAGTTAGCTTGGAACTTCAGCTGAAGGAGCTATAGCTGTTACAGACCAGGATTAGAAGGGATGTGCTGTGAGGATAGGCTTCTTCAGAACAACAAGCTCTTATCCTCCTTGAGGAGGAGCACTTGGTTTTTAGTGCCTTAAACTTTTTTGTGCCAATGGCTGAGACTCCCTGTTAGAATCCATGAATGCTTATAGAAGCAGAAAAGCTGTGAAAAGGGAAGGAAACAATCATTCACTCATCTGAAACTTCCTGTTTCATTTCAGGGACTTTCTGCCACGTGGATCTGGCATTGTAACCAGACGCCCGTTGGTCCTGCAGCTGGTAAACTCCAGCACAGGTATGTGAGCTACCTTCCCTGTGTGTCCATCTGGACTGCTGTCTCAGTAAAGAAAGGTCTTATTTGATCAGTGGCACTGCTCAGTGTGGAAAAAAAATAAATAAGAATTTTCCCCAGTAAAAATGGCCTGCAGCTGGTTTTTAGTTCTACCTGCTTAACATCTGATGCATTAAGTGTTCAGAAGCAAAATGCTTCTTAGTTTTTTGTTTTAATTTATTAGGCAAGGCTCCATGCATACACTTACCACAATTTTCCTTTGCCTGTGCAGCTGTGACTTACAAGTGGGTAAGACCTAAAAGCCAGATGACCCTGCTGATAATGTACTGAAATAAGGGGGCGAGATGATTTAATGTACTGAAAACCCAATGTGAGAACACTGGGATCTGGAGAAGAAAAACTACAGAGTTCCGTGGCTGGTCTTTTGGGCAGTTCACTGGTTTTGCTACTTACTTGCAGGATATTTTCATTACTATTCCCCTTAACATAAGTTGAGATCTCATCCAGTAGTTGGCAAGTGAATGTTTCAAGGTACTCTTCCTCTCTTGTCAGGTGAACTTGATCTATCCATGACAGTCCTCTTGTCTACAGAAAGGAGGCAATTTGACTCTTAGGAGGCTTTTCAAACGGAAACAAAGGGTTCTTGGATTGGTTAGCCTATTCAAGGACTGACACACAAAAAACCCCAACCACCAGCCAATTCAAAACCATGTCAAGAGAAGGTTTTTTGCTTTCTTAAGACTCTCTTGAGTCTGTTCTCATTAAGTAATGAGACTCTTATTTACTCCCAGCACTTTAATACAGAGCTAGTCCAAGTTCTGAGTACCAGGGTATCTCCTGGTGTAGCTGTGGAAGTCACCACTGCTGCAGGCAGGTTCATGCTAAGTTTGCTTAGTATCAACAGAGAAGGTCCTGGATTATTACTTCAATGAAGACAAGTGAGGGTGCCACCTCTGCTGAGACAAAAGCTGGATTGTGAAGATGTTGGGCTGAACTGAAGTCTCTCAGACGTTGATCAGATAATGTGACTGCAGTAACTTCTATGCCAACCTGCCAGGTCCTAGTGGGAAAGGCCCTTGCCAGACTTCATCCCTTCAACTGTTTTTTGTTTTATTTTGCTTTGGGACATGATGTTTTCATTACACTTTGAGTGTTTCTCTGATTTCAGTGACTATTTCCGACTCTGCTTCTGTTTAAATAGAATATGGTGAGTTCCTACACTGCAAAGGAAAGAAATTCACTGATTTTGAGGAGGTCCGTTTGGAGATTGAGGCTGAAACGGATCGTGTTACTGGCTCCAACAAAGGGATTTCCCCTGTGCCCATCAATCTTCGAGTCTACTCTCCCCATGGTGAGTCCTAATGCAGTATCTGAATCAAGAGAGAAATGAGGCAGGTTGCTGCTTTGTCATGAAGTAAAGACATAAAGAACAGAGATGAAATGGGGAGTGTGCTTGGTTTTGACTTTGATCTCCATGTGCCTGGGCCATGCTGTATCAAACTGCCAGCCTTAGCCGTACTGTTAAAACGGGTTTGTCTGCCAGCTGAAATATCTGACTGCTAGCAGAACTCCTCCTTGAAACAACTGATGTCTGTACAGAACTTGTTCCTTTCCATTGGAATGGGCATTACAGTGAAGAGCTGCTGTCTCTTCCTGCTTCCTGATACTGCTTCACTGGGCAAATAAATGGAACAAAAAAAATTGAGAGTGGCTTTCTTGAAAAGCACTTGCCTTCTGTTTGTTTGTTTGCATGTAAATACGTACTTTGTATAGTTCTCTCCAGGTAATGCCTATGTCATACGCCACTGATCTCAGTGGAAGAATTCCGCTTAAACAAGGAAGCGACATAGTCCCAGATTTGCCAGCTCTTTAAATGTGAACAGCTGTATGGCCATTTTCTGGAAAGCAGAAGCTCAGTGCTACATAGCATTTGGCTGGGTAGAACTTGTACTTAATCTTTGGTTTTTATTTTTTCTCTCAGCAAGACAATTAAACCGTTATAGGGCTGCATATTGTAGTCCTTCAGCAGAAGGCCCAGCTGACTTCGACAGGAGCCTCCCTTGAATAAGGGTGGCAGGACTGAGCTCTTCAATACTGGGGACAACTCTTAATGAGTGGAACCAACTCTTCTGACTCTCCAGTCTTTGTTATGAAGTGAAAAAATGTACTTTCATCCCTTCCCCTTCAGTGTAGCATATGTGGAAGGAATCTGAGGGCGCAGTTTCCCTTATCAGTGTGAAAAGAAGTGATTTAAACGGAAGGGTGATGAGATCATTGACAATCATGACTAGTAACAGCTAGCAACTAGTTCTTGCTAAGCAGTAACAAAAGAACTACAAAGCTCTGTGTGCTTCTGTGTGTGTATCTGTTATGCCTATTATATATTGGAGACACTAAAGCTACAGGTGGTGCTTATAGACCAGAACATTCCTACCTCAACACTCCCTTGTGCTATCTCCTGTTTTGTATTGTCTAGTCCTGAACCTGACCTTGGTGGATCTACCGGGTATGACAAAAGTCCCAGTAGGGGACCAGCCCCCTGACATAGAGTTTCAGATCCGAGATATGCTCATGCAGTTTGTCACCAAAGAGAATTGCCTCATCCTGGCAGTATCCCCAGCCAACTCCGACTTGGCCAATTCTGATGCCCTGAAGATTGCAAAGGAGGTGGATCCTCAAGGTAAATATGTTAATTTAGCATGACATTACTAAACAATGGCCTGATTTTCCTTTTACCTTTTGGTTGCGATTAGCCCAGTAGCTGTGGGCTCCTGTCCATTGTCTTGGGTTGTATCTTCACCACCACACATTCTTCTGAGAAGTGTTAGTGAGTGTTAACAGTTACCGTAATAGAATTTTTGTTATTCCCCTTTCTTCCTTTGTCTGAGCCCCATTTCTGAAGAGGTGAAGGATTTCCGTTCCTTTAGTCATGGCATTCTGCCTGGAGAAAAGTAGGAAAATCTGCACTAAAATCCCTCTCTGCTGTGGCATAGCATGTGCATGTTTCAGCAGGATATAACTGAGAACTGAGCTTGATTATTGTCTGGTTTGCTCTCATGGCCTCTTGGACATGATGGGAACTGTAATGTTTGTATTCAAGAGCCCTTGAGTAGCCAAGTTGGGCAGCCTGTAAGCTCTGTGAACAGAGGAAAATATTACATGAGTTGTTTGCTTGATCAAGTATGTTTGTTTGGTTTTTTTCATAGGGCAACGCACTATTGGAGTCATCACTAAGCTGGATCTTATGGATGAAGGAACTGATGCACGAGATGTACTAGAAAATAAATTACTTCCTCTTCGTAGAGGTATGTTTCCTCATGCTAAGTCATGATCTCCTTCTTCTATTTCCCCTGTGTTGAGGTGTCCTGGCCTCATCCCCTTCTTCTAGTGCATCCCCTTCCTGCAACGTCTGTTACAACTTGTGGTTAAGCCATCTCTGTTCCAAGCTGGAACTGAGAAAAGTTGGGAACAGGGATCAGTCACGCTGTTAATAGAACTTTTGGGGTATTTGTACCTTGATATGTAGTCCTAGCAGAAGCATAGCCTTATGCTCTTATCTTTACTTTCTCTTTCTTTTAATAAGGCAAGCTGCAAAAATGGAACTCCTGTCTAAGACTCCCCTCGTCTCTTATCTAGATAAGATTGCCATAGTATATCAGATGAAATAATTTTGGACTATGATACATGCTGTGTATAGCCATAGTGAAGTACCTATCCGAAGGACTTCAACAGAAGAGTCTCAAATGAATGAGACTAGGGTATGCTTTGTGATTGGGGGAACAGTAATAAATAAGCTGATTCTCAGTTGCATAGTCATTTTTGTCCTGTATACCGAAATACCAGAACCTAGGCTATTCAGAGGAAATCCTAGTTTTAAACTCTTCCAATTGGTTCCTAATAATGTGTTGCCACTAGAATTCCCCTTTTGCAGTGCTGCCAGCTGGGTAACTTCCTTCTCATTCTGAGTCCTGTTTACATTCTCATCCTTGCAACCATCTGATCTCTAATCCCACTCTTGCAGGTTACATTGGTGTAGTCAACAGAAGTCAGAAGGACATTGACGGCAAGAAGGACATTCAGGCAGCTCTGGCTGCAGAGAGAAAATTTTTTCTCTCCCACCCAGCCTACAGACACATGGCTGATCGCATGGGAACCCCCTACCTGCAGAAAGTATTGAACCAGGTACTGTCAACAGTTAAGAACTGCTGTCTACTATGTCACAAGAATGGCTAGGCTGGCCATCAGGGCTCTTCTGAGATGGAAGAGTACAGGAAAAGCTAAAACTTGTGGTCAACAAACTGATAAATACTTAAAACTGTTTTGCTGCAGTGAGACTTGTGAAGGTTGGTTAACTCTTCCTTCTCTGCATCATAAAAGGCATTTTTGGTGCCAGTACACACATGAAGTGTGCCTGACTTGGGTTTCATTCTATCAGTATTATACATTAAGGCCAATAATAGAGCTTACACACTAAAGGCAGAGCACTGCATATCCTCCCAGTGACACTGGTGCAAAATCAATAGTTGGTTTATGGCGTTTACACTATCAGAATGCAAGGTCTTTCTGGTTAAGCTAAAAGATACCTTCTAAACTTCTAGTGGTCTCTGTACCTAATAGTAAGCTGCCAAGATTGATTTAACTGTGATACTGGTAGTCATTTTCCCATCTGTTAAGGCTGTCTTATATCCTGTCACGTACAGTAGCAACTTACCGTTGCTTCCCTCTCTGCTCCCTTGAAATACTGCCTTAAGTGAAGAACTACTTTGTCCTTTTTCCTCCTTATTTAAATATTCATCTTTAAACCGGAGTTTTCCACAGCTGTGCTCTGAGGAAACCCTCTTATTAGAGCGTCATCAGTGGTTTTGGCTCCTTCCACCTTGTCTTGTCACCCTTAGCATTGAAAAAGGGTTTAACCACCACCTTGGATGTCAGTGGTGTGGTAATCTGAAGACAGAATAGCCTTTGCCCTGGTGTAAATAGCAAATGCTAATATTTGTATATGAAGCTTTATTCTTGGGTTGGAGACAGCAGCCTTGTATGAATGGCAGTTTTGTACCAGACTAGAAGGTAAAATGAAGGTCAGGAACAGAGGGGTGAATAGGTAGGAGATGAAGAAGCAGAATACACCCAGATTGTAACTGGTATCTGTCCTGGGATAGACTTTCTATTAGGACCTCTCAGAAGGATTGAACACAGGAGAGAGGAGCATTACTCTCTTTATTTTGTGGTGCAGAGGAAGCAAACTTTTCCCAATAACTACCTAGAGGTTTATTATCATCTTAAACCTTCTTCTTGTGCAGCAATTGACCAACCACATCCGTGACACCCTGCCAGGGCTGCGGAACAAGCTCCAAAGCCAGCTTCTCTCCATTGAGAAGGAGGTGGAGGAGTACAAGAACTTTCGCCCTGATGACCCTGCTCGCAAGACCAAAGCTCTGCTTCAGTAAGTGGCCTCAGCTGCACGTCCCTCCCTGGATATGACTGCTCAGCCATGACTTCTACTTCGTGCTTTTTGTCTTCTTTCAGGATGGTCCAGCAGTTTGCTGTGGACTTTGAGAAACGCATTGAAGGCTCTGGAGACCAAATTGATACCTATGAGCTGTCAGGAGGAGCTAGGATTAACCGCATCTTCCATGAGCGTTTCCCCTTTGAACTGGTGAAGGTATTGCTTCCCTGTGCTGCTGAGATCCACTTTGTCTTCTTGCCTGTTGTCTGTTACCTCTTCTGCCTGTCTCCTTACTCGTCTTGGTACCTTTCACAATCTGTTTTTCCCTTTGACTACTTTGTTTCACTTTTTTTTTCCTTTTATCACCTTTTTTACTTCCTTTTTTCTCCCTTATTGGAGCCTTCCCATAGTACTGACCTTTCCCTCGGTCCCTGTCCTTGTGACAGAACTTAACTTTCTCGTAGTTAAATGACAATATTTCTTCGACTTAATTCCTAAATGCTAAATTAAGTGTGCAAAATTAACTTCCTTTAACACAGACAATAGTAAATCAATGACTGAATGTCCTTGCAGATACGTTACGTCAAAGCTACTTTGAATTTCACATGGTACGAATGGTGCTGAAACTTGTACTTCCTTAATCCTGAGCACCAGACTAGACCTAAAGTTGCCCTAATGGATATGCAAGAAGCAGGAAAGAAGATATAGATATACCTGGGATTACTTCTGTCTGTCCCCTATCAATGGCCTAGAGGTGGGAACAGTGTAGAAACTGTTCTACTGTCATAATAGCTGAAGGGGACTTTTATTGAATAATTGTTTTCTTGGATGGCAAAGTACACTAACCTAGTCAGAAGTGGTACAGAAAAACCTTTTTTAATATCAGTTGGAACAGACTCGAGCCAAATTATTCCACTCCTGGCTTTTCTGCATTTTGTTTCTTTTTTGCATTTGAATAAGATGAGGCCTTTTTAGTGAAACACAAGAGCCTGCCTTGCATTGGATAATACATTTTTGTATGTGAACTGTAAATCTATTTGTGGTGTTCACTGAAAAAACAGCTGCCAAGACCTCATGCTAAATTTTGGGAGACAAAACTGTTTGAGGAAGCAATCTAGCACTTCAGTCCTATTGCTTTATCTCTAAGAAGCTCCTTGGGAGCTGCTGGGGCTTGGCATCTGTAAATGTAGGCCCTTAGCTATTCATATTTGTCCAGGATGTCTGCATTGGCAACAGAAGCTTTATGGCTGGACTCTGTATCCAACACTTGGGCCAATATCTCATCTGACACATGATAGTGCTGGCATGGGACCTCTTCTCTGTAAAGCATGCTGTTGCGTATCCTGGGGTTGCGCAAATAAGTGTCAGGCAGTTTCTGATAAAATTCTCTCTTGGTGCAGATGGAGTTTGATGAGAAGGAGCTGCGGCGGGAGATTAGCTATGCCATCAAGAACATCCATGGAATCAGGCACGTATCACTCACTAGGCAGACCATTGGCTGCATAGCCTTGTAAATACCTCTAGACCTTCCAAATGGAGTTGAAGACTTCAGAGGTACGGTAGGTCAGCCAAAGGGGAGGGATAATCTCCTTGGACCACCCCGGTGGCTTGAATCTGGGAGTAGGGACAATCATCCAAGTCAATTTGCTTTCTCTTCCCATGTGAGAGTCGCAGAAGCCTAAAAGGTAAACCTGCCTTGGTGACTAGACATTTTCTCCCTCCTTCTTGTGTCTTGACATAAGAAAGGATAGCAAGAGGGATGCAAGCCCATACTACTCCATCATTTAGTTAAAACTAAAACGTTGGTTTTCACTTTCTGTCTCTATACTAACCAACAGTTAGTCGTTCAAAACAGTTGTTGGTACTGAGCACCTCCTCCCCTAGAGATCTGAGGGAGCATTGGGGTGCTCATCACCAGGATCCCAGTGACCCCAGGATGTAGTTAGCAAACATGCTTGTGTTCCCCTTAGTGGAGGTTAGCTGTCAAAAAGCACAGCCCTGAGACCTTGAGTTGTGCTGCTCCTGGGAAGGTGAGCAGGGCCTGGTGCCTGTCAGAGCCCTTCCTGCACGCTGGGATGTGAACAAATACTGACCTGGATTTATTTTCATTCCTTTCTTTTGCTCAGTTGCTAGCTGAGCTTGATAAAGGGTATCAAATGTGTTAATGTCCTAATCATTAAGAAAATCTTTCAGAAAAGACCTCCCATCTGCTGCACAACTCTGAGGTCAAATGTGCTGCAGAGGGGTCAGCCCCTGCCACCCTTAGGCCTGGCAGCTGAGGTGAAATCATGGCCTGGCTGTGGCTGTCCAGCTGGGATCCACTTTGCCCTCAGCACCTCCTTCCTGGGAGGTGCCAGGTGACCCCCATTTTCCATGGACTCCAGTCAGGGCTTGTCCAGGGGACATGACACTCCCCAGCCCCATGTGTTGGGTTTCAGTGATGGCGGTGCCTGCTCCAAGATGTGTGTGTAATGCTGTGACATTCTCCTTGCCCCTTCTCCCCCTCCTGCCTTGTCTTGTCCCCACCCTGGGTGTTTAGAACCGGTCTCTTCACACCCGACATGGCCTTTGAGACCATTGTGAAAAAGCAGGTGAAGAAGATTAAAGAACCTTGCCTGAAATGCGTGGACATGGTCATTTCGGAGTTAATCAATACTGTTAGACAGTGCACCAAGAAGGTAACCAGAGGCAGCATGGAGCTGGCACTTTGCTCTGCTCGCTGGCTGCAGCGCAGCACTGTGACCTGGGCAGGGACTTGCCTGCAGCCACACTTGGTGTTTCTAACCACCTCCTCAGCATGACTAGACCTGAGCGGTACCAGCCTGGGGCGATCCAGCCAACAAGCCAAACAGGAGGGGAAGTGCAGTGGGACATGGGCCATGGCCCTGCTCCTTAAATGTTTTAGAGCTGAGGGGTGCTGGAGATGTCCCCACCACCCCTCTGTCTGTAGCATGACATGTGATTCCTTCTAAAACCAAGGGTATTTCTTATATGGCCACATATGACTTTAAATTTAGTTTCTGGTTTTATTTTCCAAGCCAGAAATTGGGATTTAAATTTTGTCCTGTCTGTTCTTGTAGAAGTGAGAGGGTTAATCCCAAACTAGCCTTTGGGTGCTGCTGGGTGGGCTCATGGGCTGAACTTCAGAGGCTGCAGCAGTTATAGCTGTGGGCTGTATCGCAGGGAAACGTTCCTGTGGTGTTTGGCTTGATTTCTGGCTGGCTTGGTCCATATCCTGTTCTGGAAGAGCAGCGCATGGCTGAGAAGAAGCAAGTTAGAAATGTCCATCCACCTCTGGGGTCCTCCTGCTCTCACTGAGAGAGAGGGCTTCAGGTTTTGCCCTTTGGGATCCATACCGGTATTTGTTGGGGCTGAGGGAGGGAACCTGCCTTGATTCTGCCCTTTGGCTATGGCAGCTTTTGTTTCTGAGGTTGGGGTTGAAAGGCAGGAAAGTAAGTAAAACTTGGGCCATTTCTCTCAGCCATGGCTTGCTGCTTCAGGCAGGGCTAGGTGCTGGTGAAAAGGCACCTCAGTTGGGATGGTGGTATGGGCACTGGAGACTGGAATAGCCACTGGCTATTCAGGTGCAGGTAAATGGCAGTGCAGGAGGTGTCTGGAGAGTTTGACACCCTGTCTGCAAGGGTGGGGAAAGGTGCCCAAGTGGTGATACTTTATATTGCTTGCAGAAATGCCTAGTCCTTAGGGCCAAGAACCTCTACAGAAGGGCTCAGGCATGCAGGCACATGCTTTGCCCCCCAGGACAGACTGGGAAAGCAAAGTGGATGCAGTGAGAGATTGCTCAGGTTTCTAGAGTGCTGGAGGAGCTTCCTTTTTCTGTCCTGCTGTCCTCTCTTGGGGTGTGTGACTGTGGGGAGCACCCAGAAAATTGCCATTAGAGCTTGGCGACAGGTAAGCACAGGCCCTCGGGCTGCCAAGTATCCAGAGTCGCCTGCTAACTGGATCAGAAGGGCCCTCCTTTCTCATGCCCTCTGAAGCTTCTCTTGGTTTGTTCTCCATCCATCAGTTGCTATTCAAACTCCTCCCACTTGTTCTCTCTCTTTGCATCCTTCCCTCCATTTCCCACCTCTTTCTTCATTGTTTCTTTTTGTTTCTGCTTTTACTGACAATTTCAGAATAGACCATCTGTTCTGACAGTGGCAGGTTCCTCAAGTGATCAGGTGGTGCATACAGCCAGGTGGGATATAAGAGAGGAGACCACAGGGATGGGGGGGAAACATCACAGATTCAGGATTAAAGCGTTCCATTTTAGCTTAGATCCCACTGCTAAGAATTTGATGGTTGACTTCAGTGCTAGTTGTTCTGTGTGTGCTTGAGTAGTCATGGTTACAATTTTGTATCTGAAAAAACAAAATGGTGATACCCAGGTACTGGAAGGGACTGGCTTTTTAAATATTTTTTGTGCGTGTGCAGGGCTCCCGAAGTCTGGTGGGGGAAACTGTGTATTTTGTTTAGCAGGGCAACTGGATTAGTAGGAAACTGCTGCTGAGTCAGAGGATGTGAACTTAACTCTGGAAATGCCCTTGCTTTGCTCAAAAAGGGCTTTGTTGGCACCTTGGGGGAGACCCTGTGATGAAGATGAATCCTGTAACATACTCTAACTCTTTGCTGCTTAAAAGGCAAACTAGTTGTAGGTCCTATAATGTGTTGAAGAATGTTTTTAATATTGGTATTGCTTGGGGTCTTGCAGGAGTTATCCACTGATGTGAAAGATGAGGTGAAATTATCTGACTTAAATGAAGTGGTGGTTATTTATAGCTAGCCCTGGATTGGTTGTCAGCAGTATGTACCCCAGGTCTGACTATTAACTGTATCTTTAGAAAGGCAGTATCCCCTTCCCATGATAAGGGGACATTGTCCCCTTGAAAGCACTTGTAAAGTGGTAATGCCCCATGCTAAAACAAGTAACTCAGACTGTGTAACAAAGAGCATCCTGGTAGAAGCTCTAAAGTGTTAAAGATGTGCTGAAAAACTTCTTGGAGTGCAGTAGTCTTGAATTGGATTAATCTTGGCCGTATTTTAGTAACTTTATTTTCTGTGGACTTTCTGTTCTTTCATAGTGGAGCCTCTGAGAATACAGGCCACTTAGGTAATATCAGTGGAAATGAATACTTCCTTATAAACCTCAACAAGCCTGTATTGGGTCTGATGCTACAGGTTAGCTGGGGCAGAACAGCTGCTTTGTATAGCTATGGATGCCCTGTAGCATGTTTGCATTTTCCTAAATACTGGATACATCTGTTCTTACTGAGGAAGTTAATGTTGCAGGGAAGGTGACACAGAGGAAATATGCTCCACAAGTGGAGCAGTTTGTCTGAATCCCTGAAACTGAGAGACATCAATTCAGTTCAGTTCTGCCAAAACAAGATGCAAGTGACAGACCTTTGCAAGTCTTAGCTTGGCTCCTGTTCAGGCTTCCTGCAGCTGGAATAAGGAAAACATGAAGAGGAGAACTGTGGTGGGAAGGAAAGGGGGGGAATGCCTGAGACAAAGGGAAATGAGACATGGTGAGCCTCTAGGAAGAGAGGCAGTGGCTCACTGTGGCAAGCAGCTTTGTCTTAAAATCCAAAGAAGCTTTCCTGCAGGAAGAGATCACTTGATCCCTGGGGGGTTCCATCCATTCATCTTGCTCTTGACAGCTCACCATTTCACTGGCCCAGCTGCTCCTACCTCATTCCCCTTTGCCACTTCCATTTGCCCGTAGACTCTCCTGATACTTGGCAGTGCACAGGCCCCATAGCAATGCTCACCTGGTTCAATAAACCAATGGAATGAACCAAAATCTCACTTCTCATTTTGCCTTGTGTTTTCTCTCTCTTCCCTTTTCTTTCCTTCTCTTTCCTCCTCCTTCCTGCTCTTTCTCTGCTTTGCTTTCTTCTTCCTCGTTGCTTCCTCCCACCCTGCCCCTGCCGTGCAGAACGGGTCTCTTCACGCCTGACCTCGCTTTTGAAGCCATAGTGAAAAAGCAGGTGCAGAAGTTGAAGGAGCCGAGTCTGAAGTGTGTGGATATGGTAGTGAGTGAGCTCACATCCACCATCAGAAAGTGTAGCGAAAAGGTAAAGAAACAAAAAAATGCAAAGAAAGGTCAATGCTCACCCCCTTCCCACACACTTCCATGCTGTTTCTCCACACACACTCCAGGAACTCCAGCAAACTTAGTGAGAGAAAATTGATATAAAGATACATCTAAGGGAGAGTAGCAACCTGCAGGTATAAGAGCAGTCTACAAGCAGGCCAAGAGAAGTGGGTGTCACTGATGGGCTCTTTAGCTGAGAAGTGAGCTGGGATCCAGTGGATTACTCTAGCATACCCTTTTCCTCTGTCTGGCTCAGTGGTATTCACCTCAGTGTGGATCAAACCCTTTGTGAGCCCTGTTTGCTGTGCCACTGCCTGTGCATTTGGAACTTCTTACTTGAGTTTTTTTTCTGGGACCCCCTTAAAAAAATCCAGATACCCTAGAAAAAGATAAAAAGCCAGAAAAAGACCTCGCATCCCCACGGCATGAGTGGTCTGCAGGTTTCATCTGTCTGCAGAGCTATGTTGAGCAGTAGTATATACAAAACAGCAGTCAATTAAAAGTTTGAGGTGCAAGATGTTCTGCAAGAGACATTCAGAGTCAACAGAAGATTACTGTCCCAAAAGGCTTGGGGAAAAGCTTTTCCAGGCATTATACCCTCTGCATCATTCTCCTGCTGATCTCTTGCTCCATGGACTATTCTCAGTGGGAGGTAGCGTGGATACTTTTCCTTGTATGCTGTGAGCCACAGGAGGTGAAGCCTTAGGCTAGCAGAGGGCAGCAGCAGGTGGAGAGGGAAACTGTCCTGAGTGACATGGAGGGTGTCAAATACTGCTTAGAGGCTGGGGCAGGGGTGGGTTTGTTTCCCAGGCAGGTTTCTTCCAGGAGGGGGCACCACATGCCTCCTTAAAAAGAAAAAGGCAGATGTGGCAATTAGTGTTAAACTTAGCAGTGAGGGGCCAGAAACGTGTCTGTGGCACAATAGAAGTATGTTCTGGAAACTGAGTTGGAAAGGGCTGTTTCATGGGTTATTTTAGGACTTGAAAATTACAATTCCCTTCTTCCAGGGTTACAGCCAGACTCACCAACTTATACACCTAAATTGGGAAGGAAGGGAAGATAAGAATTGATAGGAGTTCAGAATGAAGGCAAGAGCTGAGCTAATAAGGTCTGGCTGTACTTAAGAATACAGAGCTCACCTCTGCCTCTGTTAAGGAGACATCTCTGACATGCCCTGAACTCTGCCCAAGCTATTTCTTGCAGAGTCCTGCTGCTGCTGCCAGATTGTGGGGGCTGATGTGGTGAGGCAGAGTAACTCCTTTCCAGCCTGTTTCTCCTGTGGGTTTTCTATTTTGATGGGTTTGCTTACACTGTTTTCTGTATCTGGCTGGAGATGTCTGCTCTGGGTGGGGAGGGAGAAGGATCATGAAAACCTCAAGGGTGTTGAATTCCAGTTTCTCTATTGGACCATGTCATTAGAGTAGCTGGATACCCGCTTGCTCTGTGGATTTTAGTCCGTGATATGGTGGAGGACTCTGTGAGGATGTTCCAAGGTGATGCAACCAAGATGATACTGTAAGGAAGGTGATAGTAGCAGTGACATTGTAGGAGACTAATGGCTGTAATAAAAGCTGGAGAGGCCAGGGAGGCAGATGTTGGAGATGCAAAATAACTGCCTGAATGAAAATATGCAGCAATAGTACTGGAAAATAAAAGGAAGGCTTTAGTAATGCTTAAAGCATTTAGTAAATGCTTCTCACTACATGTAGTGAGAAGGTTAATCTTGCCTGTATCTCCCTCTGAAAGAGTAGAAGGTAACTGCCATAGACCACTTTAGGATAGCAGCCAGCCTGAGAAGGGTTCTGATGGCGTAAGGTAGTAACAGCACAGGGGCATTAGTTAATTTGCAATATCTATCTTGCATGTTATAGTCCTAACTGCTTGATGTGAACAAGAGCATGTGCTATTAGGGGAGGCATTTGGAAAAGGCTACTCTAGGACTGATGCTAATTGTAAGGTAATACCCAGCCTGCTGTGTTGTGGACTGATGCTGCCTTTCAGATGACAAAAACAAACCTTTAAACTTGCTAGAAGTCCTGTGAGGCTTCTGGAAAGGAAGATGGCTTGGGCTAACACCTCTTGAATTAGCTTAACAGTCCTGTAGCCTTGGTTTGTTGCTGTCCTGAACTATTGTGTGTTATTGTTTGCGTGCTGTCATAATTATTTTATTTCACCCCAGATGGTGAAGAGATCTTTGTATGTGCAGTTGATAAAGCTGCATAGTTGGAATAATACGAGACTGTTGATAAAGAGCACAGAAGGTGGCAAACCCATCTGTCTACAGAAGTACAGCTTTCCTGTATGAAAAGAGATTTGCAGTTGACTCTCTTGACTATTAGAAAAAGTTGAGGGCTGAAGAGAAGGTAGCCATTAACAGCTGTTCTCTGACTGGCCTGATTCTGAGCTTCTTCTAGTTGGTTAAATGGAGAGTAGCTCCAAAATCAACAGAAAGCTGGTATAAGCATGTAAGCCCTTACATTTAAGAGGATAATGTTCTAGCTAGTGTGCCAGGCTGCACTGCAGCATCTCACAAGTGCAGGAAGGTCTTGCAAGTCAGCAATCCTTCAGCTAAAGGTTGATCTTTGGTGTGCTGGCAAGGACTCCTGGAATCTGCAAAGAGGGGAACTAGGGAACATTGGGACAAATTGGTTTTCAAAGAGGGCTGTAAGCTTGTATTTTGATTAAACAGGCAAATGCAGCTAAAACAGGATTGAAAACCCACTTGAGCTGGGACGTGATCCCAGGCTGACAGACTTAACCCCTTGAAGGGTCGCCTGCTCTCCTGTCCTTCAGAGTCATGGCATTTCTGGGTGCTGTTTGTACTGCTGGTGATAACTCCTTGCCCCTCTATGCCTTATTGCATGTTCCCTGGTGGTGTGACATTCTGTGGCTTGTCTGTGTCCCCTTTCCTTGCCCACCCTTGCTTTTCCTGTGCATGCTTGGGGTTGGAAGCTTCTGCATGGGGACTGATGCTGTCAATTTATTTTTGCACATGAATGTTGCTGGATGACCTGGGTTCTGAATAAACCACAACTTGTTTTGTACTTTGTGTGCATTTGTCCTGGTTGGGAATGGGGTGGTGGTGGTAGGTTTGATGTGTTTTTTTTTGTTTACTGGGTTTTTTAATTTGAAGCAAAGAAGCTCAGACTTGCTTAGAGGTTTTCCAACTTCCTGTTTTTCTGTTTGACACAACTTGCCCATCTATCCTTTGCCAACCCCCCAAAGGAAACAGGAAGCTTTGCCTGTGTGTCTCTGAAGCAACCAGCTGCCAGAACCATAAAGAACATGGAGAACACCCAGTTTGTGCTTTCAAGACAAGGTGGTGGTGGTGAACACTAATTCCACTTGTTTTTCCCTGCCTCTGTAGGATCATTAGTGTTCAAAACAAACCACATTTGAAAATAGTCAGTGTCAAAGCTAGTCCTCAATTTCAGTTCCAGGCTATTGCAACTTGCTTGACTGCAAGGGTGCTGAAAGGGTTTGAGACTATTTGTAGTCAGATGTTAGGAATATTGTTGCTGGCTAGTGTGGGATCTGGCTTCCAGTGGTGATGCGTCCAGTTCCTTCTAGCATGTTATAATTGCTTATGTATACAGAACAAAAGGCCAAACCAGTTTAAGAAGTTCTCGTGTAAATTGGAGGAACAAAACAAATGCAGTGCAGATCATAGGCAAATGAGATTTCTGTTTTTATACACGCCCTTGAGGGGATGTAAGAGACTGATACTAGGAAATGCTGTTTGACATTATAGTTAAATTGGAGGTAATAAAAAAAAAAGGGGGGGGGGGATTATTTCACAGGGGGTAGGTGAAGTGGGGAAGAAAGGGCTAGATCCTGGGTCTGGAGGATTAATTTCATTTGACTGTGCTGGGCCTGACCTGAGAAACATACAGTTACTGCTATTGAAATCACTAGAGGTTTACGAATCTAGGCAAGTAGGTAGGTGCTGTGTGAAACCCAGAGGGCTTTAAGGGTGCTCATTTTGGAAGGGTTTCTCATGTATGATCTCTGTAGATGTTCTTTTGAACCAGAGCTAGTAAAGTCCTACTTCTCTGTCTGGGCAGGAGAGGATTCCCTCCTCAGTAACGTGGCAAAAAGTGTGGTGTAGGTGCAATGTGAATAATAGACCTCAACTATGTAATCCTACCCCAGTACAGGTGGAGGGCAGGTAGAAGCAGCTGGATGCCCAGAGTACAGTGTTTCTTGAAGACATGTCCCCTTGAGTTGGTCAGATCCTCTGTCTGTTTGCAGATGTTGATGGAGAGGGCCAGATGCTTTCACTCAGTGCCTCAGCAAATGGGGATTGAAATCCACTTCACTTCCCAGGGAGACTTCCCATAGGATTTAGCAGGTAGTTGCAACAGGCCATTCACCTACTTAGCCTACTACAATGAGATGCTGAACATCTAGAGAAATTGCTCGCTTTAATGGGAAAACACCCAATAAGCAATAGTAGTGTGTTTATATCTGGGGTTTGTCAAGAACCTCATGCCAGGAAGAATGTGGTGGGTTTGGAGCAGGTCTCTGGTGAGGCAGAAGGGTTGCTGCAAGAGTGAAAAGGACTTTTCTCTGAAGCCCAAAGCAAGAGGGAATGACCTTTGCCCCCAGCAGACCTCCAGGAACTTGGAAAAATCTGTTTGCAAGTCCAGCTTTCTAGGACTTCCCTTGAAAATACTGATTGCAGGGTGTATGTGTGCATGCATACATGTGGGGGGCTGCTCCCCCCTTTATACCTCTCTTTCCCATGCGCACGTGTTTTCTCTCTCTTGCAGCTCAGCCAGTACCCTCATCTGCGTGAGGAGATGGAGAGGATTGTTACTACTCACATCCGTGAGAGAGAAGGCAGGACCAAAGATCAGGTAGGGGATCAGGAGTGTGTGTAAGAGGGGAGATTGGGTGGGGTGGGGGACACCTTTGAAGGGACAGTCTAGGCTAGAGTGGCCTGAGCCAAGGGGTGTCTGGCTGCAGAGGGCTGATCAGATGAACAATGTGCAGGGCTTTGTCTGCCCCTGACTATTAGCAGTGTCAGTCACTAACGTCTGTCTTACTCTGTCTGTGCCTCTGTTTGGCAGGTCATGCTTCTAATAGACATCGAGCTGGCTTACATGAACACAAACCATGAGGATTTCATTGGCTTTGCCAAGTAAGCACCCACATCCTATTGCCTCCTCTTCTCTGCATGTGTTTCCTGTGGCTCTGTCCTATAGCTGCTCCCGTAAATGGGTTGCAAAGGCCCTGGTGCAGATGCTGTGGTCCCAAAGTATGGTTCAGCTCTCATATCGCTTGTTTTTCAGTGGCTCTGTATTGCAAGTCTGGGAAGGAGAATAGGGATGTGTAGAAGGGGGAGTTAAAGTATTAGGGTTGTATCAGGGGGGAAAAAAGCAGAAGCAATGGAGGGTTAGTGACCCAAGTGTGGTTCAGGTGGGAGTGAGAAGATGAGTAGACCAGGCTGAGAGAGCAGATGGAAATAGACTGGGTTATCAAGCCTTGGAAGCCAGTGGTGAGGGGCGTGAACTCACTACAGCAGCTATCTGATGGGAGCAGGATTCAGGTGATGAAGAGCCTGAGGGGTTTTGAATGTCTCTGCTGTTGTTTGCAGTGCTCAGCAGAGGAGCAGCCAGATGAGCAAGAAGAAGGCAGCTGGCAACCAGGTAGGCCAAGTTCCATCTCCTTCACTGCTGCAAGAAGGACATGTTTGCTACCTGGAAGCTACCAGGTGGACAAGTGCTGGGCTGGATGCAGCAGTGCTCTAAGTTTTTTTTTTTTTGGTGTGTTTAAGTCATCAAACTCTTCTTTTCACCTGGAGGATAGTGTTTTAGGCTCACTGCAGTCAGGAAGAACTGAGCATGTAGCAGCAATGGAGGGAAAGTGTTGTAGAGCAAAACGGATGCTTGATAATCAAGATCTGGTCTTGCTTTTCTGGTAGAAATCCCTATTAATGTTGTGTAAATCCCTGTTTGTTCAGCCCCTTCACTAGCTATGCTACCTCTTCTGCTGAGGTATGGGGTACAGAACAGTAAGTCTGAACTGTTACAGTACAGAATTGTGTCTTCTAGTTGTCTTTCCCATTGGTGATATCTGCTTTCTGGAAAGGGATTTCAAGAGTTCATGAACTCTATTCTGGAAAACTTCACTAGAAATACTTAAACCTCTGTACAGGGAGACAAAGGGTGGTTATAGCCATGGTTGCACTAGTATGTGTGACAGCGCACCTATGGGATAAGACAGCAGTGGAGGGGAGAAGTTCCCTTATTCCTTTAGGAACTGTAAGGAATGTACATACAATTAAAAGGGGCTAATAACACCTTCTCCCAGATTTGCTGGGGACAAGGAAAGGCTATCTAGGCTAGAAGATCTTGTAGAAACAGAACCTTACAAGCAGCTTCATAGAGAATGGAAGCAAATGCTTTTGCTTAGTCTTCTTAAAGACATTCACTCCTGACATCCATCCTCTTTATAACATGTTTGACCACCTTTCCCTGCACATAAACATGCAGACTGTTTCAGTACTGTTGGCAGGCAGGTAGGTCAGCAGGTTGGGCTGGCTAGCCATCCATTTCATTGGATCTCAGAGCAGCTGTAGGGAACCCCATCCTCTGCAGTATACCTTACAGAAGAGCTGAGTGTGAAAGAGTGCAAAGGGCGAACTCTGGATCTACCTGTAAAGCGCTTTGGCTTTCCTTTTAGCAGACTTTATTTTGGGATGGGGGTTGCTTTTGTTAACACCTGGGGTAAAAGATTTGGTACCAGCTTCCAATTTATTTTATTTTTGAGCCTCTCTTCTCCTGCTCCAGCTTTCCTAGTAACAATCTCTCCTCTCTTTGCTCCTCTCCTGCTCTCTGCTCTGCTGCTGTTGCTATGGTTCCCCTTTGCAGGATGAGATCCTGGTGAGTAGAAGGCCACTCAGCAGGGTGTGCTAATGAACATTAATGTTGCATCTGGGAAGGCAAGAACAGTGTATAGGCAAATTATTCCCTCTGCTGCTGAATGGGGAGAGGAGGGCAGCTGGCACTAGACACAGGTGAAGCAGAAATGAGGTGAAAAGGTGGTAGGTTGAAGAAAAATTCAGAACTGCTGGTACATCTTGTGAGTGGGTGGAGATAAAAAGCAGTAATCCAAGGAAGTGTGGTTCTGTTTCACTGCCCCCTCCTGTCCACAGAGAGAACAGGACTATCTCGAGCTTAATAGTAGGCATGAAATGAAGATCCAATGCTCCTATGTTTACCTTTATAGGGTAAACTGTCAGTTAAAGGGATTGTGTACCTCTGTGGTAGCCTGCTCACACAGTGCAACTTGATAATGTGCAGTGCAGTCGCATGGTTTTTCAATGCCAGGTTGTTTTCAGCAAGCACATCCATACAACAAGGTACATACACATAATGCATACAGATGTTTTTGGGTGTTGACAGTGCAATAATATGTATAAAAGCTAATGCATTTAAGCTGACGCATACTTGCATTTGATTACCGCATGTGTGAGGCTCTAAACCAGCACTTGGTGAATTGGAGTTCCCTAGAGACTAAGTTTAGTCTGTAAAGAAGTCAGGCTATTAAAGGAACTTGTTTTGCCCTTAATTAATATGACTACTCAAATAACTAGGTATGCTGAAGTCCAGGGTACTAATTCCAGATGCACCATTTTGTTCTGTTACACTTAGTGTCTCCTTTTTACTGAACTCAATTCTTTCTGGGTTGCTTGCCTGTCTCCTCTTCTTGAACTGGTTCCCCCCACCCCTGAGTTGGGTGAAGCACTCCACACATGCAGTGTGCCGAAAGGTGTGCTGGTGTCCTGGTTTTCTCTAGGTGTGGCCTTTTCTGGGTGTGTTGCTGTGATCTGGTGCTTGTAGGTTGAGCCGGTGTCCGAGGCACTCTTGATGCAGTTCTTCCTGCATCTCTTTCCCCTCGGCAGAGGGTATAATGCACAGCACTGCCAGGTTCCTTCCTGCGTCCTTTTTATACTATTCCTGGCCCTTTCAAGGCAAAGACCTTCACTGGCCAGTTGAGTGGGGGGGCTCCTCTGGCAGCAGCAGAGAGCACAGTGTTCCTTGTCTTTCCATACTACTCTGTGTGTAGGGATACCCTCTGATCTTCCTCTGTCGCCTAAGGCCAGGCTTTTAGGGCCCTTGTTAATGCTCACTGCTTCCACCCCCTTAGGTCATCCGAAAGGGCTGGCTCACAATCAACAACATTGGGATCATGAAGGGTGGCTCCAAGGAGTATTGGTTTGTCCTGACAGCGGAGAACCTCTCCTGGTACAAGGATGATGAGGTGAGTAGCTCAACTCTGTGACTTGAGTCTCAGGCATCTGATGAGGATAAGGCTTTCAGTTCACTGGGTGTTACAGATGTACCTTCTGAGTACTGTCTGCAGCTTGTGATGCGAGCTGAAACCATCTTTGGGCTGGGTTCCCTGTAGTCTCAGCACTGCTGAGCATTTCTGAATTGATGTGGATGTGGCTTTTTTGACGCACAAGGAGTAACATCTGTGCTTGAAGCTCTGGCTCAGCAGAAAGCTGTTAGACACTTGGAGTGAATTTGACCTTTGTCTTGCTGTGGCAGCTGTGATCAAGGGTGTGATGGGTTAGTTCCAAGACTTGGACTTTTTGGTATTTGTGGGGCAGCTGTGATGAGTTTCCTGAGGGAGTATGGCAGAGGTTTTCATGCATTTCTCCTGGTCACAGGAAGAAAGCTCTCTCCTTTCTGAGCATAGCAACAGGAGCTGTGGAGTTGAAGCTGCGACTCAGATGCTGGCTCCTTCTGACTTTGGATAAATTACTTAACCTCTCCAGGATTCAGTTGTTAAATCTGCAAAGCAGGAATGTCTCTTAATTTTTCTATATTGAACATGCAAGTTAAATCTTATTTGTAAAATTGTTTGAATTGTGAATGGTTAGAGTACTGCTGATCAAAAGTACAGTAATGTGTGGAATATCACTGACAGGAACATGGACCTACTCTGTAGAGTTGCTTGAAAATCTTGAATATTCTTGAATCTGTAGAGTTGCTTGAAAATCTTGAATATTAGGAATTCTGGCATTGTGCTGTGGTGTCTTTCTGCTTCAGTGGGAAATGATGTAAGCAGACAGAATTGTCCCAGCTGACACTATCATTGTCAACAGTGTGTTGCTTCCTGTGCAAGACAAAGGTAGATAATTGTCTTTTCTGATTACTTTGAAAAGAGAAAGAATAGCTGGATGGTTTTGGTAAGGACATGATCGAAAGGGTTAGCCCCACTCAGTGTGCTGATGAAAAATGCCTGGTACGATGTAGTCATGCATTCTGAGTTGATCAGGGTTTCTGATTGCAAATAAACTGCTCTGCCCCTCACTGTGGTTTGTGTCCCTCAAGTGTTCTGAGGCACACAGTAGTGTGCCTGGGAGCTACAGCTAGGCCTGGCTTCTTGTCTAGTTTGTATCAGTGGGCCTGTTTCATTCTTGGCAGGTGGAAATGATGACAAATAGAGTGATGAATCAGTCTCTAAATACCGCTTTCTGCATGGAGACTGCTGCAGTGCTGTGATGGATGAGCAGGCAGCAATTTCCTAATTAAAGAACCAGGCATTGGAATGTCTTTTGCTAAATCAGTGTCTCTGCTATAAGACCCCTGACCTTTATATTCAGAGTTGCTTGGGGAGGCTTCACTTTCCTCTAGGTTGCATATGCAGGTTGAGTGGTGATAAACATCAAGTATTTTAATCAAAGCCAGCTGCTACATCTGTATTAGAGATAATCAGAACTCCCTGTTCTTCCCTGGGGAGTGGGAGGGAGGGCTGCAGTGGGGATATGTAAACTGTTGATAGATTCCAGTTGCCTGGGATGGGGATTGGACCTCCCTTCCCTCCTGAGGGAGTGCAGCCTTGGGGGTCAATAGCAAGCACCATTTCCCTTCTGCATAGCAAGATGTAGAGCTGCCTAATGAAAGCTGTTCCCTGCCAGCCTCGGTCCCTCAAACACAGGAGATCCAGTGCTGATGAGGTCTGAGCAGCCTCTAAGAAAGGAGCTTTTTGTCTTCAACTGAGTGGGAGCAGGGGGGAAAGGGAAGCGTATTTTTACTTGTTTCCTCCCCAAGTTCAACTCCTTGATCACTGGCTGTTGTGAGGTGGAAAAGCAGCAACTTCCACCTGGACTCCATAGTTGAGTCAGGCTAAAAGTTGATGCATTTGAGGGGCAGCTTGGAGAGCCTTGAGCATGGGGATTCCCATCCCAAACCTCAGTCCTGCCTGGAGCTGGCTCCATCCCAAAGAGCTGTCTGCAGTGCATGGTCTTCTGTCAGACTGTTATCTCTGCATGTCTGTCCCAGAGCTCTCCTTCTCCACCAAATCAGGATGACTCGTGTCCTCTACAGACCCTGAAGTGTTCTCATGTGTTTTTAAAGGCTGTACACCATGATCTTTCTTCACTGAAGCTCTGAGAAGGAAGGGGGAGGCTTTGTCTGCCCCACCCTGCACTTCTGTGGGCTCTCTTGTCCCAGCCTCCCTGTGCTCTGGCAGCTGTCCAGAGGGAACGAGGAGGGAGCTGAATCTGTCTTGTGCAGATGGAAATACTGGTGGTGGAGCTGTGGGTGATGATGGGGGAAGGAGCAGGGTGAGAAGCTGTGCAGTGGGGTCAGGGTGAAGACTAGGCTAGCACCTCTGGAGCTGGGGGAAGTGGGGGCACAGCTTCTCCCTGCCCTGCCTTGCAAGTCAGGACCCAGAGTCTGCAGAATGAAGACATCTGGACCCCATTAGTGAAATACCAGTCTTTCTGCAATGCTGGCTTGTTTTTCCTCTGCCTCTGAAGAAAGGAACTGAAACTTAAAATGTCTTAAAGGGCCCAGCATTACATGTTAGCAGGGATATATGGCTGTTGGTGCTCTGGAGGGGCCTGAAGGAGTGTGCTGGGGAACGGGAGGGGAAGGAAAGAGCAGGCCAGGCAGGGGTGGGAAGTTGGCTCCCCACTCTGCCTTGCTGCCAAGAGCATGTGTGTGTGCTCCTGGGCTCTCTGTTTTTCTTCCTGTCTCCTTTCAATGAGTCAAACACTGACCCCATGGAGAGCGGCCCCACAGAAAGCTGGCCTCCCAAGACCTGGAGACTCTTCTGAGGTACCTGCACCTCCTGAACCCTGTGGGATTATGCTGCAGGCCAGCAGATGGGGGGAGAGGTGGGGAGGAGCCTACACTGGCTGCTGGCAATATAGAGTGAGATTTCCTTGCTCAGAGAGGCCACAGTCTCCCCAGGGCTGGAGCAGCAGCACAGTACACTGTCTTAACTGCTCAGCGAGCACCATAGTGGACACGATACAAGAACTTGATTTGAATAGTCCTTCTGCCTGAATCCCTTCTGAAATGCACAGTGCCCACTTCTCTGCAGGGCATTCCCTCCTGCTGGAAAAGAGGGTCTGTGAGCTGGGCTAGAGCTGCTAGTGATGGGGACCTTGTAGGCAAGATGCAATGAGCACTGTGCTCAGTGGTTCCTATTAGTAAAGCTTACTGCCTGCTGGAGGGGACCCCTGTGCTCTCTGCTCTGCAAGGGTGACTGTTTCTGCTGGGGTACCTGTGACTGTGTACTAGAGTGTTTGCACAGCTGGGTGGATGGATATATCTGCTGTTTCCTTTGGAAATTTGTGTGAGTGTACAATACAGATGGGACCTTCTGTCCTTACTCAGGTAAATCGTATACTAGAAATTTTGGGCTTGTAAGAACAGGTGACTACATAAGAAGAATATGGCCTTATTTGCTCGTGTGAAAGTATTTGTGTTGCATGCAGTGTCAGTGCATTTGATTTCTGTGTGTACAAGAGGGGTGGGCACACAGTTTTAGGTACTTTCAGGTGTGTCAGGGAGTGCTTCATATTTTTTATGCATCATGTTGATTCCTGCTGCATCAGTTGTGCTTGAGCTTTTTCTGTCTTCATGCCTTCTCTCTTGCTCGAAGTACAAAGGTACTCTCTGCTGTCCTGGGGAAGACTTGACCTTATTGACAGTCATTAGATAGCTGCTTATTCTGTACCTGTCAATGTCTTGTACCCAATTCTAGTTTAAAAATAAATACATTGATTGTTCCCCCACTACACACATGCACTCCCCCCTCTTCTCCCCCGTCCTACCTCCCCCAAGAGTCTGTGTCCTTGAGGAGAACAGCTCAGCTGGTAGAAATCTTTTGTCTTTGCTCTGATGCCCACGAGTCATCAGAAACTTGCTGTGACAGGTCTGGCTGCAGCCAGGTTTTTGTACCAGCTTGTCTTTAGACCGTAGGAGCAAGTCTGCTCTGAGGTTCTTCCTCTCCTGCTTTCACACTGCTCTCAGGTGCTCTCTGGAACATGTTCCTTCTCTTTACATCCTCTGTGGAGCTCTTTCATTCATTCACTCATCTTTTTTCACAAATACATGTTTTCTCATGGATAATATCTTACTCAGTCTTAATCAGTCCTCACTTATGCTTTCACTCACTGTTTCTCTTCTTTCTTTTCCAGACAAACATCAAAGCAAACACAACTTCCAGAGTACCCAAACCTCCAACTTTCGATTCTTTGTGGATTTTTCTTTATTAATGACCAGCATTCTTTATGATGTGAAATCCCCTTTCTCCAGTCACCTTTCTCTACTTGATCCTGCCTTCTCAGGTAGCAAAGCACAGTGCAGTTGTAACTCTGCCAGGCCCGTGTGTCTATCTCTCTGCATTTTATGGCAAAGTTTAGCATGTGAAACACAAGCCATCCTGAACACAGCTACCCCTGGGACAAGTGCATGAAACTGGAAGAAACGATGTCTAAGAAGGGGATGAGAGAGATGGAGGAGGAATAAGAGGGTTGTGAGTAAGCTGGTGAACAGGCAGGTAAAAGTGATCATGAAGCATGGCTCCAAAGGGTTATATCCTCCCAGGCTGAAGAATGAGTGAACTTTGCATGCAGCTATCCCCACAGCCCACCCTCTTCAAGCATGTCCCTCTGCCGTGCAGGTGTTGCCGTCCCCGTGCAGCACTGGCAGTGTGGTGTATCCCAGCACAGCCTAACCAATGTGCAGACTACTGTACAATCTCGTAGTCCTGAACAGGTAGTCTGAACACTGGGCAGACGGAGTGGAGCCTCTGCGATCTGCTCTCCGGCTATCAGCAGCTCATTAGTCCTTTCCCCTCCCTGCTTTAGGGATGGGGTTTTAGGGGCAGAGATGGGGTGAAAGAAAGTCCCAAGTCCTGATTGAAGAAACATCCTCCTCTGGCAGCTGGGTAGAAGGAATGTTGCTCTCTGCATGTTTCCAGTTTGGAGCAAACTTCCAAGCTCCTTCCTCTTCCAG